CCCCAGTCCTAGCAATAGCCGATCAGGACAGGCCATTTCATGTGGTCTGTGATGCCAGCGATTTCGCAATCGGCTGTGCATTAATGCAGTACGACCTTGAAGGCGTTGAACGCGTCGTCTGCTATCAGTCGCGTCAGCTGCAACCAGCTGAGCGGAACTATCCAGTGCATGACAAGGAACTCCTTGCCATGAAGTATGCACTCGCGAAGTTCAGAGTCTATCTATTAGGAGATAGACCCTTCGTTGTTTACACTGACCATGCGTCCTTACGCACGGCAGTGAACAGCCCGCACCTTTCACAACGAATGGCGCGGTGGTTGTCATTCTTTGCAGAATACAACTTTACGGTCGAGTACAAACCAGGACGACTTAATGTCGTCGCTGATGCACTCTCACGTCGTCCCGACTTTGAAACAGTCGCGAAACCCAACAGTGAGACAGTCACTGTTGCGGTTATGACGTCCTCAGTTCCATCTACAACGTTGTATGATGATGTGAGGCGGGCATACGCCCAAGATGGTGAGATAGTGAAGTTGTTGTCACATCTCTCCCAACCATCTCGAGAATCGTTGAAACGATTGTCGTCTGCGTATCGATCTGCATCAGATCGATACACTACTCGTAACGGTTTACTATATTATACAGCCGTTTCTGGTGACACACCACGTGTTGTCATTCCAGATGATACTGATCTGCGTTTGCGGATCATGTTCGAGTATCACGATGCTCCTATAGGAGGACATCGTGGCCGAGAGAAAACATATCTCACGGTAAGTCGAGACTTTTACTGGCCCCGCCAGTATCAGTTTGTGCGAAAGTATGTTCGCGCATGCGAAGTCTGCCAACGAGTGAAGTCAAGTCCTTCACTGCGTGCACCTTTACAGCCTCTACCGGTTCCGGCTGAGTGCTGGGAATCCATCTCAATGGATTTCGTCTTCGGGTTACCCAAAGACGCACGCGGGAATACGGGTATTCTCGTATTTGTTGACAGATTCAGCAAAATGGTACACCTTGTGACTGTACCAGATACAATCACGGCAAGTGGCTGTGCTTGTGTCTTTATTGACACCATCTTCCGACTTCATGGGTTGCCCCGTGAACTCGTGTCAGACAGAGATCCACGATTCACTGCTGATTTCTGGCGTTCCGTGTTCAAATCACTCGGAACGCGCTTGAAGATGTCGACATCTGATCATCCAGAGTCAGATGGTCAGACGGAACGTGCCAATCGTGTCCTTGAAGAGATACTTCGAGGATACGTACACTCCTTTAAGAGTTGGAGTGATTTCTTGCCTATGGTAGAGTTTGCCATTAACAACTCGGTGCATGCGTCCACGACACATACACCGTTTTACGTGAATGGCTTGCGCCATCCGCGTGTACCCACCTTACTAGAGTGTAACTCTGGTTTAAGGGGGGGAGGGACTCGCGCGAGCAAAAACCGATTTGGTTCACGCTCATCACGCTCTGACGAAGAAGTCATTGCGTTTGATGCCGATATCGATAACATCAATATCGAAGAAGATGATGCCAGTGAGAGTGCGGAAGCCCTCACTGAAGACAATGATCCCAGTGAGAGTGCGGAAGCCCTCACTGAAGAAAAGGTTGTTGTCGCTGCAGTGCGCTCACAGCACACTGAAGCTAACGAGTCATCAGATGAGTTCATACTGGCTCGTGAAACGGTAGTCCGTTTTGTGCAAGACTCCATCGCCGAAGCGGTGGATAAGCAAAAGCAAAACGCTGACAAGAATGGAAGGGCAAACACTCTTTTATTTAATAAAGGTGACTTAGTCCTACTGTCTACGGTTAATCTACCAAAACATGTAGTGACTAACTTGGGTAGCAGTAAACTACTACCCAAGTACATTGGCCCATTTCGTGTATTGCACCGCCTAGGCAATGCATACACGATCGAGTTACCACGTAAGATGCGAACGCATCCCACGTTTTACGTTGGTCGGCTTAAGCCGTACCATCAGTACGCTGCTTCTTCCGATGAAGAACGCCCTTGCGCTCAAGCATCTCGCAGAGAGCCTTGTGCTCCCGATGGTGGGCATCAACAAGGGTCTGAAGAGCAGTTATCTCAGCCCGAGACCGATCAACAATCCCACGAGCTACCCTTAGCTCGTCACGAAGAGATGTCAGAGATCTCTCGTTCTCAAGCTGAGCAAAGGCAAACTCAGCTCGATGCTTCAAGGCAGTGTCCACCATCTGGAGACGCCTATTCCGCTCATGCTCGAGATCGTTGCGTAACCCTTGCGTTACGCGATCAAAGAAGCTCTCGGGAACACACCGATCCACATGATCGTGTGGAGAGCGTCTTTCCTCCTCCTCCACCTCCATTAGAGGACTCTCGCGGTGGCCAGCGCTATCTAGTAGAGTAGCTGTTGAACCACCGCGACGTGAACGGACGTCGGACGAGTTACCTCGTCCGGTGGCGCGGCTATCCCCCGTCCTGGGATTCTTGGGAGCCCCGCTCCCAATTGATGGTTGACGTACTGGGTCTGGTTGAGCAGTACGACGCGACACATCCTGTGCCGCAGAAGGACCGCCGGAGAAAGTCTTCCCGGCACGGTCGTAAAGGGATTTCAGGTTGTCAATCCCTTCGTACATCTCAGTAGAGATACGTACGCGCCACCACGGGCTGGTAAGGAGGTAAGCCTCCTTAGGTGCTCGTGCAGAGTTGTTCACACAACATGGGCACGAGTCTCCCCAAGAGAGGCAGGGTAATCCTTTCTCCCTTGACAGACGATGCAGCTTATAGCGTGCACCTGTCGGGGTTCGCTTTTCAAACTTATCACGAGCTTTGATAAGTTTGTCGTTCCAAGCGTCACGACCTACATCCTCGAGATTATGGATGTAGGCGTTCCACGCCTGAAGTAGTGAGGGACCATCACGTTTGTGATTCCCACTGTACCATCGATGTCTGAAGAAAGCATCGATGAAGAACTCATGTTCAGCGCGATAGTCCTTCGCGCTGGGGTCAAGGTGATGAATCCTTGACGAATCGAACAATCGTGTTCGATAACGATCACTCGTCGTCGCCGACAAGTGATCCATGACAGATTTAGGAGGCATCCATGCCTTCTTTTCTGGAGCGAGACGCAACACATTGCGGTCCCGCTCTTCCTGCGACGTGCCGACAGAAGTACTGGCACCTCGCTGTGAAGTGGTGTCAATAGGAGAAACGACACCACTATTAGCGCCCGAGTCTCGCGACCTCGAGCGCCTTCGCTTCGGCGATGGTTCATCTGACTCATCAGATGAACCAAAGATGCTGCGACGCAAAGCATCGTCCATGCCACGCTTGGCAGGCGGCTTGGATTCAATTGCCGTCGATACGGATCCGTCATCCGTATCAGGAGAGTACGAGACACCGAGCTCGTACTCTGTGAAGACACGAGTGTCTTCATGACCAGCGCCTGCATCACCAGGTGATACAGGCTGAGTCGATTCAGCAACCGATGGGACATCAGTTGCTGTAGTTTCTGCTTCGGCGTCCGCACAGAGACGTGCAGACGCGCTCTCGGCGGCCTTGCTCGCGCATCGCATGGGCTTGTTTACCATGCGATGAGATGTTGGAAAGTGGACGCGGACCAACAAGTGCAAACCCCGTCCCAAATGATTTGGGACGAGTATCCATTTAGTCAATCAGTCACTAAAGTGACTGATGGTTAAGGGGGGTGATGTAACGGGGTGAATCGTTACATAACAATTTATAAGAAATTGTTAATAGAATATAACTATAAGAGTTATATTCTCAGAATATTGTCATAAGGACAAATATTCTGTAGCACTTACGAGTAGTTCCTAATTGGTTGATATAGGCCATTATATCAACCAACGAAGACGCGCCACGACAGACGCACGCAATGAGTGGTGAGCAGATAACTGATTTACACATTTGTATTTAGACATAGTTAGATGAAGATAAATAGTGATTTATTGCAGACATTAACTATTATAAATACAGTTCTACTTTTTACTCTAACCGAGTACTCGCTTCTTCTTACCGTCTTCCTCTGCACGTACGAGTGTACGTGAAGTTACGAGGCACCGCCTTATTCTGTCATCAGAATAAGTAGCTTGTACTGTCACCAGTACAAGCTTCAGGGTGCCCCGTTACAGCATGGATGCCTCCTAAGTCCGTCATGGATCGCTTGTCGGCGACGACGAGTGATCGTTATCGAACACGGTTGTTCGATTCGTCAAGGATCCATCACCTTGACTTCAGTGCGAAAAACTATCGCGCTGAAAACGAATTCTTCATCGATGCTTTCTTTAGACATCGATGGTACAGTGGGAATCACAAACGTGATGGTCCCTCACTGCTTCAAGCGTGGAACGCTTACATCCATAACCTTGAGGATGTAGGTCGTGACGCTTGGAACGACAAGCTTATCAAAGCTCGTGATAAGTTTGAAAAGCGAACCCCGACAGGTGCACGCTACAAGCTGCATCCTCTGTCAAGGGAGAAGGGATTTCCCTGTCTCTCCTGGGAAGACTCGTGTCCGTGTTGTGTGAACAACTCTGCACGAGCACCTAAGGAGGCTTACCTCCCTAATAGCCCGTGGTGGCGCGTACGTATCTCTATTGAGATGTACGACGGGATTGACAACCTGAAATCCCTTTACGACCGTGCCGGGAAGACTTTCTTTAGCGGTCCTTCTGCGGCACAGGATGTGCCGCGTCGCACTGCTCAACCAGACCCAGTACGTCAATAATCAGTTGGGAGCGGGGCTCCCAAGTATCCCAGGACGGAGGATAGCCGCGCCACCGGACGAGGTAACTCGTCCGACGTCCGTTCACGTCGCGGTGGTTCAACAGCTGCTCAACTAGATAGCGCTGGCCACCGCGAGAGTCCTCTAATGGAGGTGGAGGAGGTGGAAAGACGCTCTCCACACAATCGTGGGGAAGCATGTGTTCCCGAGAGCTTCTTTGATCGCGTAACGCAAGGGTTACGCAACGATCTCGAACATGAGCGGAATAGGCGTCTCCAGATGGTGGACACTGTCTTGAACCATCGAGCTGAGTTTGCCTTTGCTCAGCTTGAGAACGAGAGATCTCTGACATCTCTGCGCAACGAGCTAAGGGTAGCTCGTGTGGATATTGAACGGTCTCAGGATGAGATAACTGCTCTTCAGACCCTTGTCGATATCCACCATCGGGAGCACAAGGCTCTCTGTGAGATGCTTGAGCGCAAGGGCGTTCTTCATCGAAAGAAGCAGCGTACTGATGGTACGGCTTAAGCTGACCAACGTAAAACGTGGGATGCATTCGCATCTTACGTGGTAACTCGATCGTGTATGCATTGCCTAGGCGGTGCAATACACGAAATGGGCCAATTTACTTGGGTATTAGTTTACTGCTACCCAAGTTAGTCACTACATGCTTTGGTAGGTCAACCGTAGACAGTAGGACTAAGTCACCTGTATTAAATAAAAGATTGTTTTCCCTTCCATTCTTGTCTGCGTTTTGCTTTTGCTTATCCACCGCTTCGGCGATGGAGTATTGCACAAAACGGACTACCGTTTCACGAGCCAGTACGAACTCATCTGCTGACTCGTTAGCTTCAGTGCGCTGTGGGTGCACTACAGCGACATCAATCGTTTCTTCAGTGAGGGCTTCCTCGCTCTCACTGGCATCATCTTTTTCGATATCCATGTTATCGATATCGGCATCAAACGCAATGACCTCTTCGTCAGAGCGTGATGAGCGTGAACCAAATCGGTTTTTGCTCGCGCGAGTCTCTCCCCCCTTAAACCAGAGTTACACTCTAGTAAGGTGGGTACACGCGGATGGCGCAAGCCATTCACGTAAAACGGTGTATGTGTCGTGGACGCATGCACCGAGTTGTTAATGGCAAACTCTACCATAGGCAAGAAATCACTCCAACTTTTAAAGGAGTGTACGTATCCTCGAAGTATCTCTTCAAGGACACGATTGGCACGTTCCGTCTGACCATCTGACTCTGGATGATCAGATGTCGACATCTTCAAGCGCGTTCCGAGTGATTTGAACACGGAACGCCAGAAATCAGCAGTGAATCGTGGATCTCTGTCTGATACGAGTTCACGGGGCAACCCATGAAGTCGGAAGATGGTGTCGATAAAGACACAAGCACAGCCACTTGCCGTGATTGTCTCTGGTACAGCCACGAGGTGTACCATTTTGCTGAATCTGTCAACAAATACGAGAATACCCGTATTCCCGCGTGCGTCTTTGGGTAACCGAAGACGAAATCCATTGAAATGGATTGCCAGCACTCAGCCGAAACTGGTAGAGGCTGTAAAGGTGCACGCAGTGAAGGACTTTACTTCACTCGTTGGCAGACTTCGCATGCGCGAACATACTTTCGCACAAACTGATACAGGCGGGGCCAGTAAAAGTCTCGACTGACCGTGAAATGTGTTTTCTCCCGGCCACGATGTCCTCCTATAGAAGCATCGTGATACTCGAACATGATCTGCAAACGCAGATCAGTATCATCTCGAATGACAACACGTGGTGTGTCACCAGAAACGGCTGTATAGTACAGTAAACCGTTACGAGTAGTGTATCGATCTGATGCAGATCGATACGCAGACGACAATCGTTTCAACGATTCTCGAGATGGTTGGGAGAGATGTGACAACAACTTCACTATCTCACCATCTTGGGCGTATGCCCGCCTCACATCATCATACAACGTTGTAGATGGGACTGAGGACGTCATAACCGCAACAGTGACTGTCTCACTGTTGGGTTTCGCGACTGTTTCAAAGTCGGGACGACGTGAGAGTGCATCAGCGACGACATTAAGTCGCCCTGGTTTGTACTTGATCGTGAAGTTATATTCTGCAAAGAATGACAACCACCGCGCCATTCGTTGTGAAAGGTGCGGGCTGTTCACTGCCGTGCGTAATGACGCATGGTCAGTGTAAACAATGAAGGGTCTATCTCCTAATAGATAGACTCTGAACTTCGCGAGTGCATACTTCATGGCAAGGAGTTCCTTGTCATGCACTGGATAGTTCCGCTCAGCTGGTTGCAGCTGACGCGACTGATAGCAGACGACGCGTTCAACGCCTTCAAGATCGTACTGCATTAATGCACAGCCGATTGCGAAATCGCTGGCTTCACAGACCACATGAAATGGCCTGTCCTGATCGGCTATTGCTAGGACTGGGGATTGTATCAAGCTCTGCTTGATACCATCAAAGGAGCGTTGACATTCAGCGTTCCATAACCACCTCTCGTTCGTTTTCAACAAACGAGAGAGGTGCACAGTCATCTCGGCGTAATTGCGTGAATGCTTATGCAAATACGCCGCTAGCCCAAGAAATTTTCGAAGACCTTTGACATCAACCGGCACAGGCCAGTCGGTGATCGCCTTGATCTTTTCGGGATCAGGACGTACACCGTTCTTACCAACGGTGCACCCAAGAAGTGGTATTTCGCTTGCTGCAAATATACACTTCTTGAGGTTTGCATACAATTGATGCTTTCGCAGGATTGTAAGAACCTGTCGGACGTGGTACCTGTGAACCTCAACGTCCGACTTTCCATCCATAGCCCGACTATGGATGAATACGTCATCGAAATAACTCGGCGCGAATTCTCGTACTGGTCTCAACAGATGTGATACACACCTGTTGAACGTGGCAGGGGCATTACTGAGCCCTTGTGGCATTACTAGCCATTCCCAGAGCATGCCGCTAGACGTGCTCACTGCGGTATAGGGTATATCCCGTTCTCGCATAAGGATTTGATAGAAGCCATCCATCAAATCCATGGACGAAAAGATGGTACTCTTTGACATACCATCAATGATTACGTCCTTCCTCGGTATCAGCGTCTGAGCCGGTACCGTTGCAGCATTCAACTTGTTAAATTCATGCGCAATCCGCCACCCTCCTGTTGCTTTTCGCACACAGAAGGTCAGAGAGCTATGTGGAGAAGTTGATTCCCTCACATGGCCCGCAGCTAAACGATCGGCAAAGAACTTGTCGATCGCAAGTACTTGTTCACGAGGCAGTGGCCACTGCTTCATGACACAGTACTTCGAGCCTGGTTTAAGCTCGACCTCGTGTCGAATACCTTTATCCTTGTGTAACTCGCACGGAACAGTTTCAGGGAATACATCCTTGAATTCAACCAAATCTTCATAGTTAGGATTTGTCTTGAGCGATTCCCACGATTGGGAGTCATATCCCTCAATTCGTGTCTTTTCATCCAGGAAACTCTCGTCTATAGATGAACTACTGAGAACTATCTCGCTCTCAGTGAACACTGTTGCTGACCTTATGTCGGCTACACACTCGTCGTCAGCGACGAGTACGCAGATCTGCTTGACTTTGCCACTACGCAGATCACGCAAGAACCTTTTATGTTCGAGCGTTGGCAACTGAGTGATCTCCGAAGTTAACTTCGGAGGCGCAATCAGATCAAGTATATAAGCGCCTACACTTGATCCGTCATTGACTATGACATTTAATGTCTCTGTCATTTCCTGGGGACTTATTCCCTCAGGCCTCGAAGGACTTATTCCTTCGGCTTCCCGGGGACTTAATCCCTTGGGTTTCAGGGAACTTATTTCCGCCGTATTTGTAATGTTGGGACCTATCCCCTTAACTTCCTCTAGCTGTGGTTGCGCAACCACAGCGAGATCCTCTACGAAAGACTCTCCAGTCGATCTAGGATTATCGTTTCGCTTAACCTGAGCGATCGATTGTTTCTCTTCTAGATGTTCCCCGCTAGGGATACATCTTTGTCCCAGTCCACTCGACTTATTCGAGTGGTGGACCTTCGTCGCAGCCTGTGTTTCCTCACAGCCGCCGGAACTTTGCTCCAAAGTGTAACCATTTGTTACACTAAGGTTTTGTGCAGTCGTACTAACGACCGTACCACAAGTGAGGCCATAGCACTCACTCGTAGTACATCCACACGCTTGTGGACGCTCCAAAACGTTCATCAGATGGCCATCTGATGAACAAGCGGCAGGCATCGTTACTGTTCGATGTTGCCAGTTTACCCGTGGTTCGTACCTTTTTTTTCTGAGCCACGGTATTCCAAGGATGACATCAAATTTGTCATCCTAATCCAATACGATAAAGTCATCGTCATATTGGGTATCTTCTAGCGTATAGTGGATCTTCACTATACGCTTCATGATGGTTATGGATGCGCCTGTCGCAAGACGTACCGTCATCCTCGTAGGAGGTGTTTCACATTCACTAAACTTGAAGTGACCATCTTCTAGCGATTGGCGTCGCACAAAATTGTTGGACGCCCCACAATCGACTAGAGCTCGAAGGGACAACTTATTCGTCACTTCGAGTTTCAAGGTAATGAGTGAGATCTCATTACCTAGAGCAGCAACGCACAACGTTTGTGTGTTGGGAGCAACCTTCATCAAGAGGCCTACAAATTCTCTTGACGTTGCTGGACCAGTAGGGTGCTCCGCACCTACTGATCCTGTCCGTTTTTTGACGGTCCATCCCGTTGTTGCGTCTTTGCACCAACTACGGACCCTCGTCCCTGCCCCTTTCTCATGGGTGGACGGTCATTACGCCCAGTGTTGCGAGACACTGGACGAGGGGCACTACACTCGTAAGCGTAGTGTCCTGTCTTTTGACATCTGTTGCATCTCTGCAACTTCTTGTAGTCTGTAGAGCGAGCCTTCTCGCTCTCTACATAGCAGAGTTCCATCGGCTCTGGACCTCCGCTGTCATATCGTCTCGGTTGACGATATGATGTCGAGCTGGCGCGAGCCTGTCTCAGACTGAAGTCTTCCTGTTCCGCAATGGAAATGGCTTGTTCTAGTGAATCTAGTTCAAGTCGGAACAGGTGAGTCTTGACGGGACCATCCGCAAGACCCTGCATGAGCACCGAAACCAACGTGTGTTCATCAACCGGGTTGGAGCTTATACAACTCTTGAGATGTCGTATATGTTCCGCGTAAGCTTGCACATCACGTTTACCTTGTTTGAGTTTCAAGAGTTCGGTTCGAGCTCTGAACTCAGCTCTAGGCGGTTCAAACGTTTGTCTGAGCCGCGACTTGAAGACTTCCAACGACCCAAACACATATGAGTCGTGCAACTTGATCCCCAAAGCCCAAGTCTTGGCACGTCCTGCCAGATTTGACTGGGCAAATGCAACTTGCATATCCCCGTCGTCGATGCGACGCGCCCTTATGGCGTCATCCAATTCGACGAACCATCTCAAGAGGGAGTCCTCTTCGACTCCCCTATACTTGGAGATGTCAATCTTCAAGGTCTCGGGTCGACGCGAGTGCATCGACCCACCAGCAGCAGCCTGCTGCTGTCTCAACAGTTCAAACTGTTGACCACCCTGTTCTCTCAACAACTCTGCTTGTTGAGAACCTTGTTGGTGAAGCAAGGCTACTTTCTCGCGTTCGGCGTCAAGTTCATTTTGAATGAACTTGGCGATAGTAGCATGTTGGGCATCTCTATTGAGAGCCTCTAGCATGACGCTAACAGCATGGATGCCCATGGTTGAACCCATTCGTTCAACCGCATCCCATTCGACATCGCTCAAATGGGAGTAGCCGTCACGCGTAGGGTGAAAGCTTTGGTCATCTTCATCATCCAACATATTCATGTTGGATGTGAACGCGGTCCTTGGACGGACTACGAAGTGCTACCAGGTGTAACTGGGCACCCTGAAGCTTGTACTGATGACAGTACAAGCTACTTATTCTGATGACAGAATAAGGCGGTGCCTCGTAACTTCACGTACACTGGTACGTGCAGAGGAAGACGGTAAGAAGAAGCGAGTACTTGGTTAAAGTAAAAAGTAGAACTGTATTTATAATAGTTAATGTCTGCAATAAATCCCTATACATCTTCATCTAACTATGTCTAAATACAAATGTGTAAATCAACTATCTGCTCACCACTCATTGCGTGCGTCTGTCGTGGCGCGTCTTCGTTGGTTGATATAATGGCCTATATCAACCAATTAGGAACTACTCGTAAGTGCTACAGAATATTTGTCCTTATGACAATATTCTGAGAATATAACTCTTATAGTTATATTCTATTAACAATTTCTTATAAATTGTTATGTAACGATTCACCCCGTTACAGTGGCTACACACACTACTAAACGGAAAAGTGCTACAAGATCGCCGTGTTCACTAGGCCGACGCTGATCCACAATGGAGGTGCGTTTTGTTGTGGTTGAGTTGGTGCCGGCATCGCGACTTTTAACTGCTCGCTACTGCTGCAAAACAGGCAAGCGCTGCTGGATCGAGATGTGTCAGAAGCTAACAAGTCTGAGCGGACAAGAACAAAGTTTGCATTGATTACTGCACTTTGCAAAGCAAGCAGGAAGAGCCGACAAGACCCGCCTTCTCCGGATAGCAGTTTATGACCGTGCCAACATGATAGGCTCGATCGAGGCAGCGGCAGCAGGGAAGGTACATTCGAATGTCGGGTGTCTTACGAAGGAAGGCTGACGGTAGAGTCGAAAAACGTGGTCGTTCGATCAACTGAGGCGTAACTGAAAGAAAAAGGCTGCCAAGCTGCAAATCCTGAGGAATGCACGCGTGCCGTTTATGTACCACGTGCGACATGGACACGGATCCATTCAGGTTTCTTTCCTTTCCACATGACCGGATGGCATCCTCGTACCCCGATTCTACCCTTTATGCAAAACGTGCTAGTGTTCCTCTTCATTGGCATATCACCATCACATTGAGAGTGACGACAGCAGAAGGCTCCTTGTTCAATAAATAATCATGAAGGTCTGAGACCATATAGTTCCATTTCGGTAGCAGCCTGATGTCTAGCCAATGTGAACTGGTCTAGGCATGTCTCTCCGCCACAAGGCACGCATGTGGTGCAAAGCCGTGGGTCGTGGTGGCGAGTCCATCTCCCATCAATAATTTCTCACAAAAATCAGTATCAAATTTGCTTGGTGGTCGTCAGAACTACTTCGGACCTCATTCTCCTCTTTTTTCCCCGCCCATTGACTGCGAGTATTGGCGTCTCCGATGATTAAGCGCCTCCTTCTCTTCGTGCTCTTACTCAGTCCGGGTGCTGTCAGCGACGCTTTACTGGCTCTAACGGCCAGCACGCTGCCTGCTGGTGCTATTTCCGTCAAAGAGCAGGCTACGGACTCGAAGGCGCGCGGAAAACAAGCGCTTAAACTAAGCGAAGACACATCTGCTGCTGTTGGTGAAGAAAGAGCGTCATTTTCGTTTCCTGCGTTGGAGGAGCATTTAAAGGCCGCTTCGGAGAAGATCTACGACTGGTTTTCTCGGATGGCGAGTAGGTCTGCATTCTATAAGAAGGCTATGCAGGAGGTGGACGTCGTCTGGAATAAGTGGGGTGTTACGGGGGAAGAATACAAGACTGCCTGGAGAAAGGTAGAAGAGGCCTCTCGTGTTACGGAGACCGCATGGAGACGTCGATTGAAGATAAAATTGAATACAAATGAGGATCGTCTGCGGGACGCTCGTACTGCCTGGGAAAAGAAAGAAGCAGTCTGGGAGAGGACTGAAGCAGCCTGGGAGAGGACTGAAGCAGCTTGGAAAGCGAAGCTAGAAACCATAGTTGGCAAAGAAGCAGAATCACCGTCCCTGGATGCCCAAATATTGTCGCTGAAGGATAATTTGGCGAAGGACGAATGGACGTATTTGGACAGAAAAGCACGGTGGGAATCGAAACTAGAAGATTGGAAGAAGAAAGAAATCGACTTGAAGGATGGCGTAAACATTGCAAAGTGGGACTTCGCTGAGAGGGCGGTCAAGACGTACTTACCACAGTTCGAAAAGCTGAAGGCGCATGGCGTTACTAGAAAAGCATACCAAAACCTGCTTGGTCTGGATCCGTCCACTATTGCCAACTACAACTTGAAGGAAGATGTCATCACGAGTGGCTCCCTCGATGGGCTGCAGTACGCGAAATATCTGTATTTCGACAAGTTCCTTGAATACAAGGGAAGCTCCAAACGCTTGTTGAGGTGGGTCCACCTACATTTTAAACCAAACAAGTGAAAGGCAGAGGTGTCTCGGGTATTGCATTCGATTAGCCAAGTGGCTACGGACAACAAGTACCGTAGCTTGGTAAGAGGCATATGTGCACTCAATACAACTTGCTCATTGGAAATGACAAGTCTTTTTCATGTTCATGTAGGCAAGAAGTTTGCCTGGCTTGATCGTCGGCCGTCCAAATCGTAACGCCTCGTTATTTCTGTGTCCAACAGTCAACCCGTGAGAGCAAATGTTCTCGACAGGAAACTGGGACGTCCACATCGATGAGTTGGCTAGTCAGAGTCCACGAAATTATCGAATGAATGTCAAGGAAACTCAACATGCGTCGCAATAATTATGATCGTTAGTGCTGCCATAGAAAGTAGTCCCTCTCATCGTCTTTGACAGCAAAGAATGTATGTGCTTGTTGGCGGTATTGTTTGCTTACTATTTGCATGTGGCACCGGGTGATGCCAGACCACGATCCTTTTGCAGCGTTCATAGCGGTCACGATGATCACCGTGTGCAAATATGTAGTCGACGATCTCGCGGTTTTTCGGTGTTCTGCACCCGTTAATTTCACAATTAAATGTAGCCTTAGCCCCGTCGTAGATTACATCCTAACTGTATACCACGACTTTAGTTGCGACGTCCACGACAAAAATGTCGTTGTCATCTTTAGGCAAAAGTAAAACGCGGCTAGCAGACTGATACAACGTACGTCACAGTCTACCTTCTGTTACAAGCATTCTAAAGTACATGCTTGCGCTCGATCAATTACGCACTGACTCGCGTAATCATATAAAAAGGATTTACCAAGGCTTGATGAACGCGGCGTGCTTAAAGCACCTACAGCTCGCGTCGATAAAATATGAAAATGGCAACTTTCATACTACGAGGCATCCGCGCGCGTCTAAATTGTAATATTGGACGAAACATCAACAGAAGTCACCATTTTCACGTTTATTGGTACGCAATTTATTGTTTCCACAGTGATCGTGGACGGATGGAAACACAGCGTAGACTTCAGTCGCAATTTAGTGATCCTTAACCTCTTTTCTGCGAATGAATTGGCTCGGGGGTAGTCAAACATGCTGGGTATTAGCACTTGAATTTGTAAAATTAGGATCATAGAAGAAAGTGGTCTAGAAGATGCAGCATCGGTTGAACTACCTTTGCGACACCATCCGTTATCGCACAACACGTTAAACTAATCACACGTTACGCTGGGATTTCGTGAATCGAAGTTGGAGCACATCTTGCACTGAATTGGCATAAGACGTGTCAGTTCATTGGAAGCATAACAGGCTGGTACAGATTCCGCCTTGACGGGTCAAAATAAACTAAATTTGAGGAGATGTTGACACGAGCGACCAATCACAGTCCAGTGAATACGATGAATGTTGTGCTCCATTTCCAATTCGACTATATTCCACAAGGGATAAATATTCAGGATAACACTCTACGACAATTTGGCGTACTAGAAAACCGTACGCAGCGCTACAACTTAACAAGTCTATCGATGGGCTCATGCGGCGGGCCGTATGTGGATCAATCTGCTGCACACCAGGCTGAAGGAGGCAGGATTCACACAGTGTGACGACCGATTGTGCTTGTGTAAGAAGTAAAAGTTAAGTAAAGTAAATGACTTGTATATTACCGCGCACCAGACGCGTTTCGGCCCCCCGCCGGGGGCCTCATCAGTGGTTTGTCAATCTACAAGTGAGAACTATCCATACGTCTAGCTGCCGTACGACCTATAGTAATGCATAGAACCCTAAAGAACATTCTAGACATACCCTATCATGGGTCGAATCTCTGGAGTCGAATCCAGTGCATCATGCACTTACAACACTCCCCCTCGACGACATGAGATGCAAACCACTTTGGTATCGACCCGCCTGTAATCCTCACTGCTGCATCCGTGCACCATGGGAATCTTGATTGAGTCTTGCCCCTGCGCTCCAGCCAACCTCGATGATACCGAGCGTTCCAGGTATTCCAGCTCCCCCATCGTCCAGCACCATGTCACATCTTGACATCTCGTAGTCGTCGTTCGTCTTGCATGTAGTTTCCACTTCTTCTTGACCACAAATACACTTGTCACCACTTGACTTGACTCTTCTTTCGATAGCACTCGCGCATTCAGACCATCTCGCGTCACCACCCTTGCACAAACCCTTTTCGACTGCACGCGCACCGTCAACGATCCCTGTCGATGAATTCTTCGGCGCCTTACTCGTGCATCGAGCGCCTTCTCTGACGAAGTGTCCCTCGCACAAGTTGGTCCTTGGTGAGGTGTCTGCAGCGAGCACTTGGGCTCATAACCTGTTAGAAGTCAATACACAAAGGTAGAGACAGAGGACACACAATTAAATGCAAAAGAGAGAGTGTTATTAGTTTCGTTATCTCCTGGCTAGCTATCAAATCCTTTCTGCAGAAGAAATCATAAAATGAAACTCCCACAGTTGCTCGGCGCAAAGATGATATCAAAAGTGATACTGGTACCACTTTCTTGGTACATCAACTTGAAGCTTGCCTTTCAACAGCTTGTACTACAATCACCAGGGAGACGATGTGACGATTGTCGGCGATTACATGGACGGCTTGCTAGTCACAGCGTCCAGTCCGAGGATGGCATAACTACATTTTTTTGGCGATGGCATGTTTTTCAATCAAAAATTTGGGCTCAATGTTTTTGGTATAAGAGTTAGTTTGGAGGACGAAAAAAAGGTGGACTGTAACAAGGTAGCCCGTTACATGAGATTGACACCAAACGGTGTCACTAGGGAGATTGTCTAGCATGGCACGATCCTACCAATATTATCCGAGATGGATAGTATTGAAGGAAAATTATATCCTTTGTAGGATAATATTCATGCACTGCTCAAGATTAGTTGATAAAGGCATACCAACCATAGATTGCCACCAATCGCTTCTAGACGCGCGTAATGAGTGGTGAGCAGGTTGTCGTCACACGACGACGTAGTTTAATGTAGTTCGATAGTGATTAAAGTTATATTGATAGCTTAAATATATTAAATACAGTTGGTCCCCAAATTCCAATAATTAAATACAGTTCTCATTTTACCCTTAACTCAAACTAGCTGTTCGAGTAGATTAGCTTCCTCTGCACGTACTAGTGTACGGAAAGTTTCACGGCACCAAAACAAAGGGTACTCCGTTACGTGCACTGTGAATTAACACTGCGACTAGCGACTATTGAGGAAATGGCTGCGAACAATGGTTCGAAGGAGGCGAATGGTGTTCGTGTGCCTATCGGTGAAGAAGCTAATGAACGGAAAATGATCCTGTGCTAATGACAACGGTACCGAGACAAAGAGGTGAACCAACGATTCGCGATTTTAGTCGCTTGAAAGAAGATAACTTTAGATTTCAAGATGTTCACGTCCGGATATCAGCTTTGCAGTGCACAAGGCCACGCGGCGCACTCATCAACCTTCTATGAGTGACTGGAAGCTGACAAAGAGAGTCGCAAGATACTTAAAAGAGACCAAGAACCTCTAGTTCAAGATGATCATTTTGAAGAAATGAAGAAACAAGGTCAATTTGGCGAGCTGGAGCGACTCAGACTATGCGGGTGATTTGGTGGACCTTAAGACTGTCTTAGGCGGAGTTCCAACCATGGACGGTGCTATCATGCAGTGGCGTGCAAAAAGCAGACCGGGGTTGTCGCTATCGACAATGGAGGTGGATTTTGCGTCGGCCTCGGATGTTGTGCCAGAATTGCTATAAAAAAGGGGGAATTTATGCGCAAAATAAGCTTTCAAGTGGAGGTCTCTATGTCAATGTTCGTGAACAACGAGGCTACTATCAGACAGCTGGATACTGAAGGAAGTACATCGAGTGTTAAGCACGTTGATTTACGCATGAAATTTATTTGCGATTATGCGAGGAAGGACATCGTGAAACCGAAGTTTGTGGAATCGCGCATTATGAAGGCGGAATGGCTGACGAAGGTATTGCCGGCGCCAAGATTTGCAGAACGACGAAAGCATTTCGCTGTAGACATCGAGTGTAGGCGAGTGTCCGATGACCGAGGAGAAGTATTGGCGAAAATGCCAGATGGTGAGAGTGTGTTGAAGTTCGGCCGACCACTCTCGGTAGGAAGATGCAGCCACAATCGGTTTATAAAATGGTTTGATGGTAGAAAGCGTATGAAACATTGTTCGTAGGATGTTAAAACAAAATCTCTTCTACTTTCACAGCATCCTCTGTACATCTAAAGTCTAACATAACTGTTGTAGTGCAGCACCATACAGTGACTGCGACGAGTGCACGTCAGTAAAGTGTAAGGCAGTTGAAACCGAGGAGCTCAATGCATTCGACGTTTTAAGGGTGATTTTTTTGGAGTTTAAGGCTTTGAACGTGACATTTGAATGTAGGAATGACAAGGAACTAATCAAATTTATTTATGTGACTCGCGCCTCTATCTCTTAAAATCATGTATCGATACGTTAAGGTCGTCGCAATTGTTCTTCATTAAAAAGCTCGAAACTCCCACGATGTGCAGGTTAGTCTTAAGTCCTATATCGGACGCAATAAAAGTTAAGAAAAATGGAATGTGAATCACCTGTTCTCCACTGAGCAATTTAAGATTGAGAAAAGCAAACCTTTAAGGTGACAAACCCTCTCTGTTAGGTCCAGACTGTGCAGTATACACCAACAAGTATATACATGCTGTAACCACACCATAGAACGCAACGTCTTTTTCTTCGTCACAAAAAACTCCTCGAGTTTCTTTGTGAAAGAGCTCACAGCCTGTCTTGGCCCTCTCTCTTCTTCGAAACTTCCAGTTTTTTCGTGGGCTGAACCTGAGCGCTCCCAAGCCAGGGAAGCCTGAGTGTCCATTTTCAAGCTGTACACGATGGAAATCGCATTTCGGATAGCAATGTTACCTTCGTCATTGCAGAACCCTACTTGACGATGAAAAGAAGCGCGACTACCACATCAATCGAAAACTTGACCGGAGGATGCATCAAAGTGAAAGAGGTGGACGGTTG